AACATCCCAAGCTCATCTCAAAGATGTTACATGGAGCATCACCTGCTGGGTTGCAGCTGATCCCAGTCCAGAGGCCACGAGGAGCTTTCTTGCAAGGAAACACAGTCTGGCATGGGCTGAGCACAACTCCTGTGGCTGTTCAGAACCACAGCAAAGAAGTGATGCCAGTTGATGAGGACCATGATCTGCTCTGGCCCCCATCCCATCAGATACCCAAGTGGAAGGAGCTGTGCCAGGCAGTGCCTTTGCAGAGCCTACTAGTGGGTCCCTGGGGAGCAGATGGCTCTTGCACTGCCCAAGTGAGCCTCTGGTGGGCAGGAAAACACTTTAAACCAGAAGTGGGACACACTTAGAAGTCCTAAGGGGTCCATGTGCCAGCGTGGCTTGCACTTTGGAGCGGTGGTTTCCTCTCTTTGTTTGTGCAGCTCCCACCACCAAGGCACTCAGAAAGGCAGGTGTGCCTGTGGCTGCCTCTTGGAACCTTATCTTACCCCAGAAGAATAGATTAGATTTCCTTTTTAAATTAAAGCTTAATATTCTTATAATAATCATAATTTTAAAAGAGGTTTGAGTGTACAGCTGTGAACTCACACTCTGTTTTCTTCTGCTGAAGTTAAAGTGCACGTGGACCATTTATTTTAGCAAGAGACTGAATAAGTGGTTTTTCCTGATGGGGAGTTCCAGCTCGGCCATCAGCAGCCCCAGATCCACCTTGGACCATCCAAAAAACCACACAGGATTGTCAAAAGCAGGGAAGGACCTACACTGACCTGATACTTGGCAAATCTTTAGCTACACCCTCTGTTTCAAGATACCGAGGCCATAAGCACAGGCAGCAGCATTAATTAAATCCATGAAATTGCATTAAATATGCACCTTCATTAATCTCCTTTCTTGAGGGTTGTAAGTTAAAAGAGGGGGAGGTATGTGCACACCAGGCTGGTGCTAACCTGGGGTTTGCAGACTTTTTAAGCCTCAATGCTGATGGAAACTGGTAAGAGGGTCTTCAAGAAACCATCTTGCTCACCAGTGTCTGTTACAGCCAGAAGAGCTTTTAACTTAGGCCAGTCCTAAGAGCTCTTAAATAATCAGTGCCTGGCACCAAGGGTGGGTTGGTGTCAAAGAGCTGGTGACTTTTGCTGCTTGTAGCATCCTTTGCAGATGTGAAGTTGTGTGAATTGACCCAGAATTTGGTAGAGGTGCTCGTGGTTTAGTAAGACATGGTCTGTTGGGCTCCGGCGTTGGGTTGTGTCGGGGAGAGAAGGGGAACTAGTTTTTGTGTCTTGCACTGGATGATTTCTGGTTGTTCCTGGCTGTCCTGCAGAGTTCATTATTTCTCCTCCAGCTGACACCAGTGTCTAATTAGGGGATGTAAAATGAAGGTGGAAGAGCAGCAGTTTGCAAGGGTATTACAGCTCAGGAAGGAGTCTGGGCTGGATTTAAGCCCAAAAATACCCTCTTGATTGCAAGATTTTGGTGAGGAGAGGATGGCTGCAACATTGCAGGGCACAAGAGGAAGGACTTATGGTGCAGCCCTTTACCTCCTGAAAGGGGGCAATCAGCTCCTGTCCTTCTTGCCTGTTCCCCTGCATCTCTCATTCATCCAAAGGGCACAAAGATTTCCTAACCCACAGTTTTTCCTACAACAAATTCAGGATGGCTCTGTCCCCCCAGACCATGCACTCAGAGCTGGGTGCAGCAGGCACAGAAGGGGCTCTGGCCAATGCCACTGTCGTGCTCAGCCCTGCTGATGCATTTCAACTGATTTATCAGTCTTTTCCCATACTTCCCCCCATTATTTTATTATTTTTTTAAATGCTAAATATTGTTTTTCTCCTGGGAGAGTAGTAGGACAGCTCTAGGGCTCTGTTGTGGTGTTGCTTTTAGGGTACAATTGCAAAGCCAAGAGGTGAAATAGCTTAGCCAAGACTTTGTTAAATCCATCCATTTCTGCATCAGGATGCACCACAACTTCAGGAAACACAACATTGCTCTGAAAACAATCCCAGGTCCTCACTGACATCCTTTTCTGCCAGGAGACTTCTGAAAGATGGTTTCTAGAGTTATTTAATGGCCAGGGAGTAAATTATTCACATAAACATCTCCCTGCTTCCCTGCATGGCACTGGTGTTACATGTCAGGAGAGGAGGGTGTTTTCAGAAGCAGGAACAATTTAGATTTTGCAGAAATCCACAGGTTTTTGGCCTCAACCATCAGCTGCATGTGGCACCAGCTGCTTTTTACAGGTGCTTAATGAATGCAAACGAGCTCTGGTGTGTTTTTCTCTCCCCTCCTTTTATAACCCCACTACTTGCTCATTTTCATTCCTCTTCTGGTCAGCAGAGATGGCTTTGATGGTGGGTTTTCCCTCAGGCTTTAGCTGGGAATTAAACCCAGCTTAACATTTACAGCACAGTACACCTGGCTGGGGGTTTTCCACCAAGCCTCATTTATATTGGGAAATAACACATGGAGGAGCCATGAGTAGCTTTGATTAAACTCCTGCCAGTGGGAAAAGGGGGGTAGGGAGTTTTGTGTTGGAGTTTTAGGAAGAAAAGCAACAAAAATGATTACTTTCCCCAGGATTTTTAGCCTTTTTTTAAAAAAAGATTTAAGAAATTCTGTTTTGAAGGAAAAACTGAAGTTTTTTGCTTCACTCTTGGATGGGCTGGAAGGTCGTTTTAACTCCTCTACCCTCAAATTTCCCTGGAGCAGAAAATGTGCTTTTCATTTCATCTCCCCCATGCTGAAGCTTAGAGCTGCTCGTGTGGAGAAGTCAGTGTCTTTCTGCAGAATTTGCTCTTCTCTCCAGAAATGAGTCCTTGTTAGCAGGGCAGTGCAGATGTTCTGGGAGCCATCCTGCTCTGAAGCCCACCTTTCTACCAGGGGTGTGTTACAAACAGGGGTCTTGGCTTGGGTTTGGTGCAGACCACAAAGGCCCTTCCTGAGGTGCTGATTCCACAGCCTGTCCCAGTGATCCCAGCTGAGCCATGGATAAATCCAAAGGTTTTTCTGGGGCTCAGTTACCAGGAAATGGCCCCCATGAAGTTCAAGTAATTTCATTAAAAGTAACTGTAATAACACATTAACCACGTGTTTTACAGCCTAAATCCCTACATTAAAATACATTAAGTGCATTTATGGTTTAACCAGCAGTTTAGTGACTTTGTGAATGATGGGATTTAATTTTGTTCAGCCAACAGACCCATCTTTTCATCTATTTTTCATTACAGGAAACAAAGATAACTTTCCCATATCCATCTTTTCCTCTAAATACCATGTATTATCCCTAGTAACCAACAGACCTGAACAAAAGACAATCTAAATCTTTAAGGAGATAACTGAAAATGAAGGAGACAGTGTGGAAGAAGAGCAGTGAAAAATGGACACCATTTAGTAAAAACTGTCTTTCAAAATCTATTTGAGTTGCAACGCTTCTCCCCAGCAGTGTCAGGAAATCTATGATTTGGAGCTTTTTAATACATTAGCCTATAAAAGGTGGATTTCTGTGTTTGACTGAAAGGCAAGTTGGTACCTACCCAATGTAAAGCCTTTCTCAAGGAATGACTCCAAATTGCAGGAGCTGGTGCATCACTTTTTTTTTCACAGTAGTGTTAAAAGTGCTTATTAAAAACTAAAATGAAGGAGACAGTGTGGAAGAAGAGCAGTGAAAAATGGACACCATTTAGTAAAAACTGTCTTTCAAAATCTATTTGAGTTGCAACACTTCTCCCCAGCAGTGTCAGGAAATCTATGATTTGGAGCTTTTTAATACATTAGCCTATAAAAGGTGGATTTCTGTGTTTGACTGAAAGGCAAGTTGGTACCTACCCAATGTAAAGCCTTTCTCAAGGAATGACTCCAAATTGCAGGAGCTGGTGCATCACTTTTTTTTCACAGTAGTGTTAAAAGTTATTTATTAAAATCAAATTGAACTCGGTGGTACCAAAATTCCACCCAGGAAATGCAAACCTGTCTAAAGCTGAGAGGGAAAAAATAAATCTGAAGCTTTCCAGAGATCATTTGGGAGGAGGGGGGGGGTCCAGCCTCACCTCTTTGGCAAGGGTGTATTTTCACCATTGCTTTGGGTGTTTGCTTTTGTGGAGGTTTAAAAGGCCAAGTACTTGAAAGCCCACCTGATGGTGGGATGGTCTGATTGCTGATGACAGCTCAACTAGGTGCAAGGTCTTGGTAGGAGTCAACAAGGCTTAGTTATTTCTATGGATGAAAAGTTCCTCTGTGATGATGTTAGGCAGGTGTATAAATGCTTGTGCTTCAGGGGAAAAGCCAAGAGGGAGAGACAGGAGCTTCCCCTGGGTCTTTGCAGCAACGTTCCCATCCTGGGGATCTTTATGCCTTTACCAGGAAGGTAACAGGTTTGGATGATTTTAGTGGGGCGAGTTTTGTGGTCTCAGTGTAGTCATAGAACCTCAGGCTGGCTTGGGTTGGAAAGGACCTTAAAGATCATCTAGTTCCACGCCCCTGGCATGGACAGAGACGCCTCCCACTAACCAGGTTGCTCCAAGTCCCATCTAGTGGCATGAAAATTCCCATTGCAGCAGCAGCAGTGACTTCCCAGCGGGAAGCTCAGCTTTGCTGTCAGGACGTGACTCCACACGGTGAAAACCTCCAGAGCTGCTCCATTTTTTCATCTTTTTCCTTTTTTTTCTTTTTTTCTTTTTGCTTTTTTTGTCCCTAGGGATGCAGCACCTTCAGCAATGGAGCTCCTGTCACCCCATCTCCTTGCAGGTGTTCCCATCCCCTTTGCTTGCCAGGAGGCAAAGCCAGGAGCTCAGGGTAGGGCTCAGGCAGCCACGGGCACTTCAAAACCCACCAGCAAGGCACCCTGGCCAACCAACAACCCATTTGATGATTTCATTCCAATTTTTTCTTTTTAATCTCTTTTTGGGGGGCTCATCCCGGGCCGCGAGTGGGGGAATAACCTCTTTTTTTTTTATTATTATTACTATTTTTATTTTACTTTTTTTTTGTTTTTCCAGTTCTCTCAGGCCAGACACACCACAGCCCTTTGAAACGCTCTGTGTCCCTTACCCCACCCATGAATGTGCCAAACCAACCTCTAGGACATGGATGGATGTCTCATGAGGACTTACGAGCTAGAGGACCCCAGTGCATCCCTTCTGATCATGCCCCCCTGTCTCCACAAAGCAGTGTAGCCTCTTCGGGAAGTGGTGGGAGTGAACATTTAGAAGATCAGCCTTCTGCTCGTAACACATTCCAGGAGGAAGGGAGTGGGATGAAAGGTGAGTGAAAAAAAAAACAACACCACAAAACAACACCAAACCAGATGCCTTTCTCACCCCCCCCCCAACCCATCCATCCATCCCCAGCACCCAGAGGCAGGAGGGGAAAAGCCATTTTCCTGGCAGCACGGGGCTCAGTTTGTGGTTTTTGGGAGAGAGTTTTCATGACCAGATGGGGCTTTTTGGACGTTTCTTCCCACTTCAGGAATGTAGGTTTAGGGAAATAACTTAGGTTGTCTTCTAAGCAGCAGCTGTTCCTGGTCTGACATCTTCCAGTTGGGTCCCAGTGGGCTGGTTTTGCCCCCAAAAATCCTGCAAGCTGCCAGCTTTCCAGAAAGCTGGATTTTTATTCCCTAGCCTGGGGCTCTTGGCTGCAAGTGGTGCTCTCTTCTCTCCTCTTCTCTTTCTTTTCCACTACAGTGAAAAATAGCTTAGCATGAGTTTAGGAACTCACTTGTGATTTGTCATTGTGGTGTTTGGTACTTACCAAGTCTTTGGAGAATTTTTGGGTTAGGGTGCTTGTTTGCAGTGAATTTATCCGGTGCGTTTCAGCTGGTTTTTCCCCATTTCCACCTGCATTTCACAGAGATTTGAACTATAAAGATACATAATCCTGTTGGTAACTGAGGCAGAAACGAAACCCCCGTTGCTGCAGTCGAAGCTGGAGAGCAAACTCGAGGCTGTAGAGGGATAAATGGGTAAAAACTGGGCAGATATTCCAGTGAACAGACAAAACGAGTGAAAATGAACCCACAGCTTATCAGGGACTGATTTTAAAAATTGCACTTTTCATTAATGCAAAGCAACTCTGTTGTGTAGAGACAGGTGATGTGTCAGAATAGGGAAATAACCATCTTTTTTAAATAGTCACAGAGTTTGATTTTATTCTAATGACATGCACAGCTAGGGGCACATCAGTCTCTGTACTGTGAAGTCGTGTTTGGCTTGGCACTGTGTGACTTGGATCTGCATGAGATAAATGCATGAAAAAACCTCTCCTGGTTTCCCTGTGAGATAGATGCTCTCCCTGGCTGGACCTTGCACTGTGGTGTTGCCCTGGGTTGGGGGCCATGGGCTGGAGATGTGATAGGAGAGTTTTCTGAGCTTGATAGCCTTGCAAAGCCTTTAGCTGTGATAAGGGTCCCTGAGGCTGCCCATGACTGGGGATGGATCAAGGAGACCCTTTCTGGGAGCTGGTGGTGTGGAGGGGTCTGTGTAATGTGGTGTTCCTCCAGGTTTCTGCTGATGGGGCTGAAGAGGAGACCACAGGGAGCTCAGCTCCCTGTGATTCACAGCCACAGGTCTGGGACCAGGATGGATGGAAACTTTGCAGTGCAGTGTGATAGATCTGTACAGCCCAGACTGTGACACCCAAAGGCTCAGGGAGTCCACAAGCAATAATCAATTAAATAAAGTCCACAGATGAGGACAGCCCGTTGCTGCTGCGTTCAGCCCCACCACAGGAGATGGGTTCCCTTCCCTGGGCCATCCCTTCCTGAACATCCTCCTTCTCTGGGGGAAGATTTGCAGATATCTAAACCTGCTTCCCCCCGTTGCTGAGCTGGCCAAGTTGCTTTTCTCCAGCTCTCCAGGAATGTGCAAAGCAGATGTCTGCAGCCTCTGGTGTCTGTCGTGTCCTCCCCCCTCCAGTATATTCTCTTCAGGCTGAATTAACCCAGTTTCTTCCAAGGTTTTTTTTTTTCCTAAACTTGGGGCTGTTCTTGCTTCTCTCTTCTGGGTTTTTTTCCCAGAAAGTCCATGCTTTATGGAAGATGTGTTGCCCAGAACTGGACTGGGAGGCAGAGCAGAGACTTCCTTGCTGTACACAGAGACTAGCTTGCTGTGTAGCTCGTCGTCCTCAAATAACCCACCCCTGGGGGCTGCCTGTGGCCCGTTGTGTCCCCACAGCTTTCCTGCAAAAAAAAAAGGGAAGTACTGCCCGTTCCCTGCCCTTGGTTCCTGCCATCTCTGGTTCCTACAGACGGGCACAACCTTGTGCATTTTGATGGGGTTGCATCTTCCTCCGTCCAGACCAGTCGCACAGTTTGCCAAGTCCCTTCTCTGAATTGCAGCCACGTCTCCCCAGGCGCCTGCAGGCTCCTGTGCTTTGGTGTCACCTGCTTCCCCAGCCAGCTTGCTCCTTCTTTAACACCGTTTGGGATGTCCAGGAGGACAGGGAGGAAACCAGACCCAAGGGGGATCCCCATCTGACATGGCTTTAGTATTTCATCTCCCATAACGTCATCTAGTTCTTTCCATACGTCTTCATACCCTCATGTCACCTGTTTCTCTTCTTTCCATCTCTTCTCATGCTGAAGGGAAAGTGCCCTTTGGCTTTTTTCCCAGCCCCTGGTTTCTCCAGGAGAAGACAAAGACACTTTGTTCCCATCTGTTCGTGGGGTGCACTGGGAGGAAAGTTTGGGTAGAACTGGGGGTTTCTGCTGTGAGTGCATCCATGGCTTAGCATGGTGTGGATGAGGGCACTTCTGAAGGTGTCCTCTATAAATACTGTGCTGTGTACATAGAATCATAGAGTCATTTTGGTTGGAAAAGACTTTGCAGATCACCAAGTCCAACCCTTCCCCCAGCCCTGCCAAGGCCACCACTGCCCCATGTCCCTCAGCACCACATCTACACGGCTTTGAAACACCTCCAGGGATGGGGACTCCCCCCCTGCCCTGGGCAGCCTGGGCCAGGGCCTGACAGCCCTTTGGGGAAGAAATTGTTCCCAAGATCCAATCTCAACCTCCCCTGGCACAACTTGAGGCTGTTTCCTCTTTTTCTATTACTTTTTCCTTGGGAGAAGAGACCAACCCTCACATATATGTATGGTAGGGCAAATTGTTTTCCTTCTAAATTCTTCCAAATTTCCAAGCCAGCCCTGGACAGACGTGTGCCAGCAGATCTCCAGCATTTGATGCCTACAGGGGACAGTGCATGTGAGCAGCATCCAAGTTCTGGGTGTGCTGCTCACATCAGACACAGCATTTCCAACAGCCATGCCATGAGAAATTAGCTCCTGGTGATGGGGTGATTAAAGAGTAGCTCCGTGGGCGAGTGGCTCATTAGGAAGTTTGGCTTTCCAGGGACCATGAAATTGCTTGTGGCTCCTGGTTATCTCTTCCTCATGGGAAGGGGGAAAGCCCCATCACTGTCCTTCTGTGCTGGGGTGGCTTCTTCTCTGCAGCTCAATTCCAGGATTGCCATCTCTGCTGGCAAGGGGGGCTCTGGGACCCCCATGGCCCCAAATTAGGAGGTGATACAGGGAGACTGATGCAAAGGGAGAGAAGAGCTACTCCTGCCCTCTGACCTTCTGCAAAGGTTGGAGGGTGGGCTTTCTATAGGGTTTTGTGTCTATGTGAAGTTGCACTTCTCTCTGAAAGTGTCCCTGGGGGCTTTGCCACTGGCACAGACGTGTGCCTAAGGCAGGTGTCCCAGGGGAACATGGAATCAGATATTAATGTGTCATTGAAAAAATGAGGTGGTTTTGTGTTAGAATGAAGCTGGGGTTGGAGCTGGCCAGTCCCTGTGCTCCCCACCTGTGCTGGAGTAGAGATTTCTGCTCGTAGCTTTTGATGAACTTTCTGTTAATAACGTTTCAGGTTTTTTAAGCTGATGAATTTAAGAGGGTCCTTCAGGCACTTTTAGGACTGTTTAGGATTGTTGCATGTCAGGACTTTCAGAAAACAGCAAAGTTCAGCCCATCCATGCTTGGTAACTGCATTGTCCCTGTGTTTGGTGGTAGTTTGGTCACTTTCTGTGCAGCATTTGAGGAACTTCAGTTTCCTCAAAGTGTTGAAGGGCAGGTTGGATGGGGCTTGGAGCAACCTGGTCTGGTGGGAGGTGGCCCTGCCCATGGCAGGGGGTTGGGGCCAGATGATCCCCTTAATAAGGTCCCTTGCAACCCAAACCATTCTGGAATTCTGTGAACTTCATTGACATGCAAATGGTGACCTGTGTCAGAGGATGGAGAATCTGAGCAAAATGCATCCTTCTGAGGCCATGTTGAGACCAGGAGGATAGATGTATATTTGGGTGGCCATCCAACTGGACACAGAGGTGCTACCCAGCAGGTAATGGCTGGGCAGGAAGAAGTCATTTCAGTTGGTGCATTTTGAGGCCCCAAGTCGCCCTTCTGAAGCAGGTTGCAGGACCATCTTTGATGCCACATCATTTTACCATGCTCAAAAGTAAAAGCTCTTTGTTTCTCTTGAAGCAGCCATTTAAGTGTTCAGCACATCCCATCTTTCTTCATGCCACAAATCGATGTCTGCCATCTGCAGAGCAGCCTTTTGCTTCTCCTAAGCTCAAGCCCACCGCTCCTGGTTTTCCTCAGGAGCTTGCCTGTGTGGTGACACAATGGTGGCTCTCCATGAGGTGTTATGGTTTTGGACAAATCATTTTGTTAAGCCCATCTCACTAGGTCTGTATCCACCAAACTTGGTGGGATCCTTTGTCCTGGTTGCAGCAAGCACTGGGACAAACTGGAATGGTTTTATCTTGGGTGTGGTGTTGGTTTGAGCAGAGGCGCTTGGATCAGAGAGGCTTCAAGAGCTGGTGGGCTAATTCATGGCTGCTGAGCCGCAGAAACCCAAGAGCTGATTCTTCCTACCGTCCATATCCACAGCACTATGTCCTCCAAAGGGTTTGTGAAGCTCAGTAAGGTGTCCAAAGCACAGGTGGGCTGGTGGGTGGCACCTCATCCACTCCTTGCCTTGCCGTTGAGGTTCTGGCGCGCGGTTAAACGATGTCATGAACTAAGCAGGAGCTCTTCCTCTGTCTCCTTGCCTTTGTGCTGCAGATGTCCCAGCCTGGCTGAAGAGCCTCCGGCTGCACAAATACGCTGCCCTCTTCTCGCAGATGACGTACGAGGAGATGATGGCCCTCACTGAATGCCAGCTCGAGGCACAAGTAGGTCCCACGTCGGTCACCCTGGTGTCAGCCACGGTCCCAGCTCCTGTGCAGTCAGGAGATGAGATGCCCCCAGTGCCTCTTCCTGCAAGACACTTTGCCCACATGTGGTTGGGAAGCCAGCAGAGAAAGGAAAAATGGGGTCTTGGGGAGTGAAAAAAAACCCACATGGTACCTGAAAAAGACCTTCTCCCAGATTTCTCACTGGAGTCCCAGCAGGAAAATTCCATCACTGGGAGCTGAGTTTGTGGTTTTTTTCCAGCTGGGATGAAATTCAAGAGTTTAGGGGCGTGGTCTGCAGTACCCAGCTCCTCTAGAGTCTTTGGGGTTTTGGTGGCCAGTTGCCACCTTAAGCCTTGAAAGTGGCCCCACTTCTACATGTACCTCTACATTATCCCCAAGATGAAGGGGACTAGTCAGCACCTTTGCTGCCCCTGTGTGAGAGGTACCAGGGAGGAACAGACGTGCTGGAAATCTTCATCTTCACCAAGTCCCTAAATGATTTCCTATCCCCCTGCACTCAGAAATTTGCTTAACGTGTAGCAGCCCTTTTTGTTGAGGGGAGGAAGGATTTGGGCTGACCCTGCTGTCCTCTGGAAATCCTCATGCCAGGTTTTGTGCTGTTTTCTTGCAGAACGTTACCAAAGGCGCGAGACACAAAATAGTCATCAGTATCCAAAAGCTAAAAGAAAGACAAAACCTGCTCAAGTCTTTAGAAAGGGTAAGTAATCACAACCACTTGTGTATTTCTTCTTTTTCCAGCAGGCAGGAATTAGTCTTGGGTGGAAGCACCCTTTGGTTATACCTGTTTTGGGGATCTTTTGCAGAGAAATCAGTTGTTGGCTTAGCCACATCTGAATGGTGTCTTTGGTACCAGAGGCAGGTTTTGTTTGGGGGTGTATTTTGTGGAGCAGCTCCTAATCCACCTCCAGCACTCAGGCAGCTGGGATGGATAAGCCCCCCAGCACTGTTGCAAGCCCTACCAAGCTCCAAGGTGCTTGGGAACACCTGAGCTTTAGGTGGTGGAGGGCACCATCCCAGCACCACTGATGGGAAGGTGGTTGCCTACAGCCACACAGGCCACCACGGTCCTCTCCTGCTGGAAGACCAGCTGGGCAGAGCTTTTAACCCCTAGTTATGCCTCAGCCACTTGGTTAACTCTCCCATCTCGGTGCCAGTGTCCCTCTCAGGAGACCCCTCCATGCACAGCATTCCTCACAGGGACCCTCAAGCCCTGCCCCTACCCATCCATTCCCAAAAAGAGGTGGGATTTTCGGGTATCTTGTCACTTCAAGGACCTCTGCACTTCTGTGGAGCATCATATAAAAACCCAGACCCCCACATCAGTGCCTGAACAGGAATTTCCATGGAGAACAAATAGAACTTCATTGTCCCTTCCACAAAAGCTTAAGTTCTGCAGAAGTGGCTGTCAGAGGAGCACCAGCACCACAGGCTGGCTGGGAACAGCTCACCCAACCTCCCACTATTTATTATTGCAATATTATATTATATTTAATTGCACTGTCTTCAAGCAGCAACTTGCCAAACCTCCCGCCAGGGGCTTTTAAATACTTCTGTGTTGCTAGTTATTGTTGTTTTCCTTAGCTCACTGCCCCACTATTTATTTATAATATGGGATTGTTTTCCTTAGCTCACTGCTCTACTATTTATTTATAATATGGGATTGTACTCGGAGGGTGGCAGGAGCTAATGAAGCCATATTTACCTCCCTATCTTAATAATAATGATGAAATCCAAGAGATATAAGCCCATTGGATTGAGTTTGCTTCGGGGATTTGTTTGCCAGGTGGTTGCAAAGCCTCTTTCCC